CGATTTATTTTTTAATACCTCGTATATATGACTACTTCTCCGCGTAGTCACCAGAACTGTTGAGGCATTTGTCGTATCGTGGGACGCGCTTCTGAATGCCCTCACTGTAGAAAGCTGCCGCCTGCGATGTCAGCCAATGTCCAGTCTCTCCTGTGAGATCAGCGTCTGAGTCGAAGTCCTGCCCGGCTAAAAACATTTTCAAATGCCGGAACAGATGGAAGTCACTCGGAGCCAGGTCTGGGCTGTACAATGGGTGCTTCAACTGTTCATATCAGAAGGAGGCGATCAGGTTTTGGGTCTGTGCAGACTTGTGAAGATTTGCATTGTCGTGAAGCAGAACAACGCCGTCGCTAAGCGTTCTGCGTCACAACACTAACCTCACCACCGACCTGTATAACTGTCACATGTGAGCGACCCATAGGAACCAGCGACGAGTGTGTGTGTGTGTGTGTGTGTGTGTGTGTGTGTGTGTGTGTGTGTGTGTGTGTGTGCAGGTGTGTATGTGTGTGTGTGTGTGTGTGCAGGTGTGTATGTGTGTGTGCATGTGTGTGTAGTGTGTGTGTTTGTGTGTCTGTGTGTATGTGTGTGTGCATGTGTGTGTGTGTGTGTGTGTGTGTGCATGTGTGTGTAGTGTGTGTGCATATGTGTGTATGTGTGTGTGTATGTGTGTGTGTGTGCATGTGTGTGTAGTGTGTGTGCATGTGTGTGTGTGTGTGTGTGTGTGTGTGTGCATTTGCGGGGTGAAACACCAAACAAAGGTGCCAGGATCTGGACAATAAAGATGTCTTTTTTACTTTGAAGAATGTTTTTCTAAAACACCTGTCTGACTTTCTGTGTTTTCTCTTAATTCTTCAAACACTCACATAAAATAAATAGCAAACACACTCCTTTTTCGTTTGGTAGGCAAATGTACACTAGAATTGAAATGCTGTTTAATCTGTCGGCTTGTACACAAAAAAAATCCCAGGATAACAGGGCTGGCCATAAATTCGATTCTTAATAAATATCCGAGCCACATATATTGGTATCCGGTTGTGGGTGGTTTGCGTGTGCTTTGATGTGGTCTGCACCTTCCTCCCTAGCTAACATCTCTCCTACTTCTTTTCTGTGTTTGCTACTCTACTGTAACATATATCTGTAATCTTCTGCACTTATATGACCTTATTGTGTTCCAAGTAGGCCTACTGTAAAATTCGTACTAAAACTAAAATTTATGTTCGGTTGTACGAGAAACGGGACATTACCCGGCCAACGCTCCGTGTCACACAGATATAGCTGGTTACCGCCCCTGTAGGATTGCAATATTGCCATTTTTACATATTTCATAATTGTCTTCGTCCCTGTCCCTTAAGAATACGCATACACAGTGATTTCAAGTAGTTTGTTGTTTTTTGTTTTTGTTTTAGTACAGATTTTACGGCGCTCGCAACTGCATAAGGTCATATGAACGCCAAGGGATGGGCGTCAACAGAACAGTTTTTTATATTTATTATTCAGTAGAGGTTTTACGGCGTTCGTAACTGCATACGGTCATATGAACGCCAAGGTATGGGTGTCAACAGAACAGTCTTTTATATTTATTATTCAGTAGAGGTTTTAAGGCGTTCGTAACTGCATACGGTCATATGAACGCCAAGGGATGGGTGTCAACAGAACAGTCTTTTATATTTATTATTCAGTAGAGGTTTTACGGCGTTCGTAACTGCATACGGTCATATGAACGCCAAGGGATGGGTGTCAACAGAACAGTCTTTTATATTTATTATTCAGTAACGGTTTTACGGCGTTCACAACTGCATACGGTCATATGAGCACCAAGGAGTGGATGTCAACAGAGAAGTCTTTTATATTTATTATTCAGTAGAGGTTTTATGGCGTTCGTAACTGCATACGGTCATATGAGCACCAAGGGTGTGGATGTCAACAGAGAAGTCTTTGCAGGGAATCAGACTTACTCTGCTCACCTCTCTAGCTTTAACAGCACAAAGTCTGCTTCGACTATCAAGGCACCCCGGAAATAATGGGTCACAAAAGTGACAAACATACTATAGAAGTAGAGGAAAATGACGATAGTAAGGGTTAGGGGGGGAAAAAGCAGCACCTCCCTGTTGCAGTTCTGGCACAGTTTGTCGCTTTTAAGTACAAGCGGGCTAACCCAGATCTCGGGGGTTTCCAGAAATCTTGACCTACACAAAAAATGGGCTTTGCCCTACCTATAGGAGAAATTTGGTTTCATTAGTGTGTATATTTGTTTGGTTATAGAAAAAAAACTCCCCTTGCCCTTTAAAGAAACTGAACAAGGGGTAAAAACTTTAACTTCGGTTTTCTCAAAACAGCATTTTTCAGGATATCCCCCTACTCCTTAAAAGCGGCAGGGTGTGCCACCGAACTTGAGAGTCGCCCCCCCCTAAAATTTCCGGGGAATAAACAAAAAGTAATTTCCCCCCTTTGGGAATGGCATTATAAAGACACTTCTCTCCTCGCCCCCCCCCCGGGGGGGGGGGGGGGGGGGGGGGGGGTTCAAATAGCTAAAACGGACTTTCTTTCAAAAGCTTGCACATTATGTATATTATGCACGTTTATAATGATATTCAAGATTTATACATTCGACGGGTTGATATCTTTTTGTTCTTACATATTACCATTCAATGGACAGACAGGATCACCAGGATCACTAACGAGGAAGTATTAAGAAGAACCAGACAGAGCCCGGTCAGAGATTAGGTGGGAAGAAGACGTTGGCGATGGATTGGACACACTCTCAGGAAGTCATGAAGCTGCATAACAATAAAAGTGTTAGATTGGAACCCACAGGGTAAAAGATCAAGGGGAAGACCTCGTGGAACCTGGAGAAGAGTCACGGAAATGGATTTACAGAAAAGTGGGAAGACGTGGAGTGACATTAAGCGACTAGCCCAGGATAGGGAAAGGTGGAGAGTGTTTGTTCGTGGCCTATATCCTGACCCAGAGTGAGAAAAGCAATGATGATATCACCATTGGGTGGTCATATCCTTTCATATACATACACACTTAATTATATATACATGTACTATATAAAGACAGACTGACAGACAAAGAGGCAGATAGACAATAGATGCATTTATAAAAACAAGCGTATATCTAAATAGATTGTACATTTGATAGATCAGATCGATAGATGGATAGATAGATAGATAGATAGATAGATAGATAGATAGATAGATAGATAGATCGATAGATAGATAGATAGATAGATAGATAGATAGATAGATAGATAGATAGATAGATAGATAGATAGGTATGATATGATGTGATAAATAACTCAATATAACAAGGACATCATTATTCAGCCGTATTTATTTTTGGCATAACACTGACATAATTGTCTATAACACAATTGACAATGCAATCCAAGTAATGCTTTTTGAAAAACAACCAATAAGCTTAAAGTGCATTTTTATAGGTTTAAAAAAAAATTCTAACAAAACTGTACAATGACCTATTATGTAAATGGTTCTTCTCTCTCACCAATGTTACAGATGATAAGAAACAGAAGCCAAGCGATAGCGTTAGAAGTTGAAGAATACAGTGAAAGAATGGCATCAGGCACATTTTTCAGGTCTTGCTTTTTAGTTAGTTTAGTAGAGGTTTTACGACGCTCGCAACTGCATAAGGTCATATGAGCGCCAGAAGATTAGAGCTGTTACAAGAGAGTAACAAACATAAAAAAGATGAAGGGGAGATAAGGACGATAGATGTTTGATAGGAAAGAAGAAACAAACCACAACAGAGCACCGGCCTACCACCCACAGTCTTGCCTTTGTCTGTTTTGATCTACTGTTTGGCATCTTTCATTGTGTCCATCACTGCCATTTTTACAGAAACAGCTGTAGGCATGTTCTTATGACATAATATGTATAAGTCATACAAGGGAAATATCGACAGTACTCTATAATTATTATGACCACGTGAAAGAAAAGCAATAGTCTTCAATATTTTACTTGTGACTAATACGCTTATTTTTTTAAAAGCTCTCTAAAAATACTAGAGGTATGAAAGTTCTCACATTTTATGTTTTTGTCTGTTTGTTTGTTTGTTTGTTTGTTTGTTTGGTTGGTTGGGATTTTTACCAGGGAGTGACGCAGGTTTCTATGATCAGAAAAAAATTAATTAATTCAGTTCGTGTTTTTATCAAACACATCGATGACGTAAACTTTGAGAGGAACCAAAACACAATAGCTCGGAACAAGAACCAAGTTAATAATATTAAGCTCCACACGAGTAGTCTTTTTCACAGTGCTGTGCTCTGGGGTTGAAGTTCCAGTCAAAAGGACACGAGACTTCAATAGGCAAAAAGGCGTAGCAGGTGAAGTAAATGTTGCATTTGGTGGGGTGAGGGTAGTAGCCATAGCCACCCTTGTCGTCGGGACATTCTGGGGACAGAAAGAGATCAGATGGGTTAAGGTAAGGTAAGGTAAGGTAAGGTAAGGTAAGATAAGATAAGATAAGATAAGACAAGACAAGACAAGACAAGACAAGACAAGACAAGATAAGATAAGATAAGATAAGATAAGATAAGACAAGACAAGACAAGGCAAGATAAGATAAGATAAGATAAGATAAGATGCGATAAGGTAGGATAAGGTAAGATAAGATAAGATAAGGTAAGGTAAGGTAAGGTAAGGTAAGGTGGGGGGGGGTTTGGACTAAGTAAGAGATTACGTTAGCTTCCCGGGAAGTTGAGATTGTTTCAGAATGCTATCAGGTTAGCTGGGGTAATAATTCTTATAGGTTGCAAAGCACACAATAGAGCTTGCTGTTGAGGGGGGATTTGCGCTATACAAATATATAATTATGCTGTTTGTTTGAGTAAAACGAAGCACATCGACACAATAATGGTCATCTAGTGCTTGGAAAAAAACAAGACCGACAGACAGAAACAACAGAGGGGAAGGAAAAGACGTAGAACCTACAAATGACGCCCTCCAACCACCCACGATTATATATTTATTTTTTTATTTTTTTAAAATTTTATTTCATTTATATATATAATTTTGTTTGTTTTCGATGTTGTTGTTTTTTAATGGTAAACTACAATAAATGTGACGTGAAGTAGAAGAAGCAGGCCACACAATACTTTCGACTTACCGAACGGTGCATCAGGTGACCCGGCCCGCCCTGGGCTGGTGGCTGGAGTCCTGACTGTTGTTGGCGCTGCCGTAGTCCGTCTCGTTGTCCGTCTCGTAGTTGTTGGTGGTGGTGGTGGGGGCGTGGTTGGTGGGGGTGTGGTGGGAACCCTCGTGGTGGGGGCAGCGGTGGTTGGTGCAGCCGTAATGGGAGCACTGGTTACGATAGGTGTTGTGAAACTGTTGGGAAGGACAATTTGATCATGTCAGACTATTTTTAGTTAGTTATAGTAGAGGTTTTACGGCGCTCGCAACTGCATAAGGTCATATGAGCGCCAGAAGATTAGAGGTATTACAAGAGAGTAACAAACATAAAAAAGAAGAAGGGGAGATAAGGACGATAGATGTTTGATAGGAAAGAAGAATCAAACCACACCAGAGCACCCGCCAACCACCCACATGTCAGACTATAAATTATAAAGTAAAGTTATTCCCTCATCCGATCTGGACATTGGGGATTGCCTTGTTAGTGAGACAACTTCCTGGGCCTTCGATATATTGTGGTAGGGTCAGACTGTAATGGTGCATTGTGAGGCAGCGTGGTGGGATCAGGCTCTCGTCAAAATAATCAAAGTGAAGAAACTTGCATTTTTCCGCATGCTTGTGAATTTTTATCAAATTTTTGTTTTTTTGCTCAACACCTTTCATGCCCATTAAAGAACTAATTTATGTTTGGATTTTGTTGAAAAGCTTTGATTAAAGACACAAAGATAAGAATTTTCAGTTACTTAGGCTAAGGAAATAACTAATCTTTGGCGGCCATTTTCTCACTAATTTTACCTCTGAAAACAGGTGACCCCCACCTCCTTCTTTCGCAAATATCTCGACTTGTATAAAAGATAAATGGATATTTTTTTAATCCAAATTTTAAAAAAAAGTGAACAAGCTTTAAGATGATACCAATGACTCTACAAGCCCCAAAAAACTGACGAGAGCCTGATTCCAGCACGCTGCCTCACATATTATTATGATGTGGCACAACGCAGCGGAATCAGGCGCTCTTTAATGTTAGTGCATGTGGAGTTATTGGCATCATCTTAAAGCTTGTTCATTTGACTATCTTCCGACGAAAGGAAATACACATTTCGCATAAATACAAGTGGAGATATTTGCGACTGAAGCAGGTAGGGGTGGCCTGGTTTCAGAGGTAAAACTAGCGAGAAAAGCTTGAGAGTCCTTGGAAACTTAAAATTTACATTTGTTGTGCCTTTAATCATCTCAGAGTATATTATGTACATTCGTTTCACTGTCTCTTTGTTGTCTCTGTATTCCTTGTTTGTTGGCATCAAAGCACTTTGCTGTTTGTTCTTACCTGATTTACCAATGTCATTTTGAGTTGTACCCGACAATACCATTCTTCCGAAAACCTAAACAACGAATGCCAACCCACGACCGTCAACAATTGAAGATGATACGTTCGTCTATATTGCACTCGTACCACAATGTTCTGATGCTAAACATTCATTTCAGGAAGCAACGATCTATTTCATTTTATTTAAGAGTCTTTAGCTTGCCGTCTTTCCAAATGAGGCAAAATATAAATGAGTAGCGCGTGTGTTTGACTCTGACAATCAGTTGTGGCGTATGATTGATTGTTTTGCTCAATCAAGAGATAATTTTCGCCTATTTAAAGGTGCAAGATATTTGCGGTGATAGCCTATAGAGGACCTTGATTGATCAATTGAAGGGATGAGAAAAATAAGAAAAGTAAGTCTGCTTGCCATCGTTTTGAAATAAACACACCAATATACAAAGCAAAACAAAAATCATAAAAACATAACAACACAACAACAAACACAACAACAAAACACAACAAAACAAATCAAAATACAGCACAGCACAGCACAGCACAGCACAGCACAGCACAGCACAGCACAGCACAGCACAGCACAGCACAGCAGCACAGCACAACAAATCAAAACACATTACAACAGCACACAACAACAACAACACAACACAACACAGCACAAATTCACAGCGTTAAGGAGAGGAGCAACCCTTGGCTTAGCCGATTTTGGGTCAGGCTATGTAAATTGAGATGTTGGCTGATTTTTGAAGACCAACCAGTTCTTTGCCTAAAAATAGCATGGATACAATTGAGAAAGTCTTTATTCTCCTCGTGAATTAATAATAATAATAATAATAATAGATAGCATTTGTATAGCGCATATCCCCGCTCAGCAGCACGCTCTATGCGCTTTACACTATATTATTACCCCAGCAGACCATAGAACACTCAGAAACATTCTCAGCTTCCTGGGAAGCATACAGTGCGAGCAGCCGATTAAGCGCTCAAAAACTAACAAACTGACAAGATCTTTCGCTGTCTATAGCC